GAGATGCGTCCAAGACGCCCCCAGGTTGTCCCAAAACGGCTGCAAGAAGCAAGCATCGTCCCCCTCCCTCGGGAAAACATGTTTTTGTTTTACATTCACGTCTTGGGATTCCACTGCGTCCAAGACAGCCCCAAATGCTCCCAAAAGGCCCCCAAGAGGGCCCCACAACCGCTTTAAGAAAAACAGAGCTGGCCCAAGAGGGTCCAAATACGGCTCTAAAAGGAGGGGGGAACCCGACCTGAAATTTCGACCCTTCGGCCCCCAGACGCCCCCAGTTTGCCCCAACCAGCAAACCCCTAAGAGGCCACAAGAGGCCAAGGCAGGCCACCAAGGCCGCCAACGTACGCCAAGAGGCCTACATGACGGCCCGAAAGGCCTCAAAGACGGCTCCAAGAGAGCCTCCAGCAAGGCCCGAAGATGCCACAGTCCGCCGACCACTTGCTGGCCTTCAAGCGTGTGAGATTCTCCCCCCCCCACATCACCCCCCCCCCTCACCCCAAACCGGGAATTTGACCCCCCTCCTGGCCCCGGGTGGTCAACCTAGGCCCCCTCGGGTGGTCCAGCCCCGAACTCACAATAGGTGGTCTGGCCCTCCCCGGGCCCCTTTGGAGCTTCAAGACAGCCCCTGAGGCCTCTCAAGAGGCCCTCAAGACGATCCAAGGGTGCCCCGAGTCGCCGAAAGATTGTTCCAACACGCCCACGATGGCCAGCAAACGGCCCAAGACTCCTCCAAAACGCCCCACGACGCCTCCCATGAGGGCCCCCCAAAAACAACCATCGTCCCACTCCCGCAGGAAAACGTACACTGTTTGTAGATGCGCCTCTTCCGCTCTCACTATTTCAAAGACGGCACACGAGGCCTTCACGAGGGCTCCAAGACGGCTCTGAGAGCCCCACGACAGCCAAAGAAACCCTCACGACGGGCCCAGAAAACCCCAAGGCGGTTCCAAGAGGGGGCGAAAAGGGGAACCCCGAACGGAAATTTCTAGCCTGCGGCCCCTAAGACGCCCCCAGGCTGCCCCAAGAGGGTCCCAAAACGCCCCAAGTAGCTGCCCAGAAATCCCCTCAAAGGCGCAACAACTGCCTCCATGACGCCCCCGAGAGCTCTTGCACGAGATCCTGTTCGCCATCCGAGTGGCATCATACCCAGAACCTAGACACGGTGGCGGGATGGGCCGACGGCCATTCGATCCGCCGCCCCCTGTCGATTCATCATAGGGGTGCCTGGCGTGCTAGATCCTTTCGGTTTTGGTTTTGGCTCTTTTTCCAAAGAATTCCACTGGGGGCTTCGGCCCGTCCCGCCGGCCACCCGGCAAGATTGCCCAGAGGTGGTTGCCAAGGGTTTTTCCTGCTCCAGACGGCTCCAAGACGGCCCAAGATGGCCTCCAAGACGCCTCCCAGACAGCCACCATGGCCTCCAAGACGGCTCAGATGGCCCCAAGATGCCTCCAAGATGGCCCAAGATGCCTCCAAGACGGCCTAAGATAGCCTCACGATGGCCCAAGACGGCCAAAGAGGTACCTAAGAGGCCTCCAAGACGGCCCAAGAGGCATCCGCGAGGTCCTCCAGGAGGGCCCGCAGAGGCTAAAATCATTGATCTTCCTTCGGTTTTTAAATGTTTTTCGTATTTGCTCCTTTTGGACTCTCCGACGACCCAAGACGGCCCAAGATGCCCCCAAGATCGCCCCCAGAGCGCCCAAGAGGCCTTCAAGATGGCCTCAGGACTGCCCAAGAGGTCCCCAAGACGGCCTCAAGAGGGCACACAGACGACCCAAGAGGCCTCCAAGACGCCCAAGATGGCCTCCAAGACGGCCCTGGAGCACCCCAAGAGGGCCCCAAGTCTGCCCAGAGAGGCCCCCCAAATGGCTTCCGACGGCGTCAGACGGGCCAGGAGCCCACAAAGATGGCCGAAGTTGGCTCTGAGCTGGCCCATCCAGGAAGGCCAGAAGAGGCCTCAAACATTGATGTTCCTTAGGTGTTCGAAGGATGTTGACACGTGCTTCCTTTCGGCCTTCCGACGGCCCGAGACGGCCCAAGAGCCCCCAAAGGTCGCCCCAAAATCATCCAAGAGGCCTCCAAGATGGCCCCAGAACGGCCCGAGAGGCCCCCAAGACCGCCCAAGGCGCCTTTAACACGCCCAAGATGGCCTCCAAGACGGCCCTGGAGGATTCCAAGAGGGCCCCACGTCGGCCCAGAGAGGCCCCCTAAACGGCTTCCGACGGCGTCAGACGGGCCAGGAGCCCACCCAGACGATCAAAGAGGCCCCGATAAGCCCCCAAAGGTCCAAGAGGCTCACAGGAAGCTCCCAGGAGGCCCCAACAGTGTCCCCAGAGGCTCCAAAGACGCCCCCTCCTCCTCCTCCTCCACCTCCTCCTCCGCCTCCTCTTGATCTTCCCTGCCATCCTCCCCCAAGTGTTCCCCGAAGGGCTTCCACAACGGTTGGGGAACCACATGGCCCGATACCTTGGCAGAGCTTTTGCCACAACGCTCGGCCACATGGGCGATTCTAGAAGGCGGGGGGCGGTGGTGATTCGCCGTAAGCGTCTTCGATAATCATTTCTCTAGTGTTTTGACAGATGTCCGCCGTCTGTGAGCGTTGTGTGACGCTATATCGGCGCAATACCGTCTCTTGCCATACGCTAGTTGACGCTGCTGCACTTCGAAGGCGGAATTGACAGGGTATAGGGGGCTCCCACGATGTGTTACCTAAGGAATCGAGGAGAATGGACAAGATGCGGAAGCAAGGATCCCCGACCTTTGGCAACGCGACAGCTCCGAGTTGTAGGCCCCCCGAACTGTACACCCCATCCCCAGCCCGAGGCCTACTTGCATCTGCCGAGCACTTCTGGGTCTCCAGACATATGAGATTGTCCCCACCCACAAAATCCTCCCCCCAAACGACCCCAAACAGAGAAAATTCTACCTCCCCCACCGCTAGCCCCAGGACGACCCACCTGGGAACGCGTCCTGGGCGAAGCCAGGTTCTTGTCGTGATTGCTGGTAGCTCGTAGACGGCCCAAAACACACCCAACACAGTCCAGGAGGGCTCCGACCCGCTGAGAGGTCGGCCCAGCACGCTCACGAGGCGTCCGACACATCCCAAGAGGCCTACGAAAGGTTTCCAAACGCAGACATCGTCGCATTCCTATCAGAAAGCACTTATGTTTAGTGTATTTCCTCTTGGGCTTTCATAACGTCCACAACGGCCTAAAAGGCCGTTACGGTCGCCCAAAGATGGTCCGGGATGACCCCGACAGAGGGTAAACGAACTGACTGCTCGAACTCTTCGCCGCAGAAAGCAAGCGCCCTACAGGACCTGATGAGACCCACAGAAGCCCCAAGATGACGCCCCAGGGGAATCCCCACTGCCTCACCAGCACGTGCGCCGTGGCGCCCCCCCCGCCCGATCCGAGAGAATCTCAAGGCACACTGCACCGATTCAAAAAAGTTGGTGGGTGTGACGCAAGCCTGTAGAATCATCACGTGAATTTCGTCAGCATTTTGCCCAAAAGGGGGGGTCCGGATTACGCAGGCGCCCTCGACAAGGGGATCCAGAATGTGAGACGCGAGGAAAATGGGGGGCGTTATGTTGGGGGGCGATTGTGACTCAAGGATCTGGAGTAAGACGGGCCCGAATGGGACGGGCCCCGCATGAGAAACTCCAACCTCCACTGGAGCTACATACACATCAAGATTCCTCCCCCGAAGCCGTCAGCAAACCCTGACGAGGCGCCCAATAGCCAACCCCCCCAAACAAACTTTCACGAGGCTTGCCAATGCACACAGAAAATCCGCTAATACTCATCCCGCCCTCCTCCGCCTCCTCTACCTCCTGCCTCCTCCCTCCGTGCTGTGACCGCAACCATGGGTGGATGACCACCATGTCGGGGGCGCGCCAACATGGATCGGGGGAGGTGGACCCCCCGAAATGCCGCCGGTGCCGCCTCGCCCGGCGACGGAAATCCGCGATTTTTCATCAAAACGGGACCCGTCGCTAATCCACGCCCCCTCGATCCATGTTTGCGATCGCCTGACCATCATGGACAAGCGCGCATGGAGGAGCAAACCCGCTTTGGCCTGCGGCGATCCGGACGGGGGGCGGCCTCCAGGAACCACGGGCGGAGGCCTCCCAGATGGGGTCCGAGCAACTGGAGTCGGCTGATCGTGCCTCGTCGCCGACGCATCGGCGATGCATCGGCGACGTCAGCGGCTCATCGGCGACGCCGGCGTGGAGAAAATTGGGCATCACATCGGGCCGCCTTGCCGATGCATCGGCGATGCGGCGTGATCCTCCGACCCGTCCTCCCTGGACGCCCAGCACGCGGCCTCGTGGCTGGAGTGCAAGATCGAACAGCTACGGCGCGATGGGGAGGTGAAGGATCGGGGCCTCGGAAGTCGACCCTCGACCCTCGATTCCGCACCCTCGACCCTCGACCCTCGACCCGCGATGCATTCGGACCCCATTCGGAAGGCCCAGAACCACGGCTACCTCGGCCCTCCTTGGTCCTCGACCTCGTCCTCCCTGTCCCCCCATCACGCACCTCGCATGCCTCCGCGCGGTCGACTGCAATCAGCGACCTGGGGTTATGCTGCCAAGTAAAAGCGACACCGACACCAACAACGGCCGCCAACGGGAAGAGCTAACGGAGCCCCCCCTGGCGGTGTCGTCCTCTCCTATGGCCCAAAACATCCTGTATCCCAAAATCGGGGAGGCGTCGTGGACCTCCTCGCTCGAAGCGGTCTCTTTTGTGGTGGTGATGTCGCTTCTCTTTTCCCCGAGCGGAGGGATCGGGCAGAGGAAAGAGCGGGAGGGGATGAGAGGGAGGAACGGACTGGCCTGACCTGCAGCTGGTCCCAGGAAGGGGCCTCTAAGCAACTTCGACCGCTCCGCTCCCCTCAGGGGTGTCCCCTCTGGGCGTCACTCTGGACGCGGCCCCCGTCGCCCCCCCTCCTCTGCGACGAGTCCCCGCGCGCGTGCCCACGCGCGTGGCCGCAGGCGC